GGGACTACAGGCATGCACCATTGCACCTGGCTGAGAAGTTACTTTTAACACTCAAAAGTACAATGGCCTTAGGCCTTGTTAGTTGGCTGCATGAGTCTCCACAATAGGGATACCTGACAGAGGGCCAGACATTCTTGTAAGACTCTGGTCCCTGTGCCAGACAGAGCCCAAAGAGGTGTGGCCAGAATTCTCCTCTCAGAGTCTCCTTTCTTTGCCTCTAAGATTAACAACTTCCCTTCAGATCAATGCATTCATTCTTTAGGTATGTTTATACCTTCAGCCGGTGCCGTCTCCTGCCTGGCACCTCTTATTCCACGTGGACTTTAGAGTTTAACTCCGAGAGGGCCGGGAGGACGAGGGTATTTCCAAGTTCTGGGTGCAGGGGGAGAGGTTATCGGTGGGTAACTAAGGAGGGACTACCGGTACAATCATCTCTGCCTTCCTCACCTCCTAGAGAGGGGAAAGGACATAGGAAATTAGAACAGAGGCATCTCAGTGTTAGAAGGGAACTCCTTCACTCTACAGACGGGACTTTCCCAGTGCCACACTGACAGCTGGGACCACACACTCAGTTCTTTAAACCTAAACTTTCTCTCTAGCTTCCACTCCTTCCCTCTCTTCTTTCCCTGGTCTTTATTTGGGGTGAAAGGAAGGGTATCCACAGAAGGAGGCAAACGTGGCAACAAAAGCAGAGAAAGCTATAATTTGATGTTTTCCCTAGATACTCTCAGGCTCAAAACTAGCCCTGGCCCCTTGGTCATGAGCCAGCAGAGGAGTGATCGGCAGGTTGCTCTCAGAATTTGCCAGCCTCTCTCTCTAGAGGGTTTCCTTGGGCACCTTGCGGCAGAGCCTTCCGGCTGAATGCTTAGCTGGGTCACAGGCGTTTCACCAAGCTGTGTCCCCTCCCCAAAGCAATCACCATGAAGTTATGATCACTGAAGTGAGTCTAGAGCTTAGGGCTGAGGAATAGCTTTAGCCTCAAGGCCTCACCCTTCTCCGGCCTGTCCCTCTCTTCCGTGCTGGGGGGCCATTGCCTGTGTCACTTCAGTCTTCAATTTGTGTCACAAAGCATTTTTCCACTCTATTCCCAGGACAGTGGTGGAGACTCTGGAGATCGTATAAACTCTTGTCTCTTCTATTTGAAGTTAAGCTCTCACGTCCTTAGGAGATTGTCTGGCACCAGGTTATTTCTTCAACAAATGACCAATGATTTCACACCGTAAGCATGACCAATCGCTATCTGACATTAGCGACAGACTAAGATGTACACCACATCCTCTGTGTAAGGCTCTTGCCAAAAATGTTTTTTCTGAATCTAATCTTGAGGAAACAATCAGACAATCCAGAATATGGGACTTTACAAGACAACTGGCATGGACGCTAAAAACAAAAGTCAATGTTATAAAAAGCAAAAAACTGGCAGGGGATAATTATAGACCAGTGCTATCCAATAGACCTTTCTGTGACGATAGAAACAGTCTATGTCTATGCTGTCCAATATAGAAGCTGCTAGCCAAATGTGTCTATTGAGTACTTAAAACATGGCTAGGTGACTGATGATCTGGTTTTTAAGCTTATTTAATTTTAATTAATTTAAATGTAAATAACCACACATGGCTACTGGCTACTGTATTGGACATGGCATAGTTCTAGATTGAAAGAGACTCAAAGCAATAGAATAACCAAATGCCATGCACGAAGCTTGATTGTATTCTGTATCAGAGGTAGGTGGGAAATGAGAAAAAAATATTTCTGGGGCTATAGAGAAATGTAAATGTAAACTGTTTATTAGATGACATTATTGGATTAAGGTTAATTTCTTAGGTGTGATAGGGTATTTTGGTTTTGTAGGAGAATTTCATTATTAGGAGCTCTATGCTGAAATATTTAAGGATGAAGTGTCTGCTACTTACTTTCAGATAATTCAACATACACACAAAGAGACAAGACAGATGTAACAAAATGTTAGTAACTGATAAATCCAGCCGAAGGGCATACTGCTATGCATTGTACTCTTCTTTTAACTTTTCTATGGGTTTGGAAAGTTTCAAAAGAAAAAATAGGAAGTAAAAAGTAAAAAAGAAAGAAGCAGGCACCCATAGGAAGTGTGACAGCAACAGAGCAAGGCTGACCACTTTCCCCAGCTTCCAAAAAACTGTTCAAACATAGACCAGTTGACCCTTGAACAACACAGGTTTGAACTGTGCAGGTCCATTTACACGTGGATTTTCTTCTGCCTCTGCCCCTCTGAGACAGTAAGACCAACCTCTCCATTTTCTCCTCCTCCCCAGCTTACCCAACATGAAGATAACAAGTATGAAAACCGTTATGATGATCTACTTCCACTTAATGAATAATAAATATATCTTCTCTTCCTTGTGATTTTCTTAATAACATTTTCTTTTCTCTAGCTTACTTTATTGTAAGAATACAGTATATGAGCTGGGCTTAGTGGGACGCACCTGTAGTTTCAGCCGCTCAGGAGGCTGAGGCAGGAGGATTGCTTGAGCCCAGGAGTTTGACGTTGCAGTGAGCTATGATGATGTCACTGCACTCTGGCCCCAGAAACAGAGCAGGACTCTGTCTCAAAAAAAATTTAAAAAAGAATATAAGGAACCTCACCTTGATGGAGGTGGCAAATTCCCATTTGAGATCAAAGGAGATCAAGTTGGTTAGGTAGAGTAGGGCAGGTGCATAGAAAGCTTTGGACACTGCAAGCTCAGGGAAATTGGCTAGTTTTTGGAAGATAGTTGGTAGACAATGAGGCAACAAACAATGACATTTTAGGAAAATCATCCTGGCCAGTTGTATAGGATCAATTAAAGAGAAAACAATAGAATCAGGGAAACCAATGAACAGGTTATTGCAATAAATCCAAGTGCGAGACAATGAAAGCCTAAACTAGGAAAGTGTCACTGGATATGAAACAGAGAGGATTTTTTTAAACTTTTATTTATTTATTTATTTATTTCGAGACAGAGTCTCACTCTGTTGCCCAGGCTAGAGTGCCGTGTTGTCAGCTTAGCTCACAGCAACCTCAAACTCCTGAGCTCAAACAATCCACCCACCTTGGCCTCCCAGAGTGCTAGGGAAACAGAGAGGATAAGTGGGGGAAACCTTTACTGAAGAAAGAATCAATCAGTTGTGGTAAATGACTTTCTTAAAGGGGAGGGGCTGTAGAGGGATGTGTGTAAAAGGAAATGTTAATGATGCTTGAAGTCTGAAGTCTACATGGCGGGAAGAAATGACGAGACCAGTGACAGAAATAGAAAAGCTGAGAAGACGAGCTATTTTTGTGGTGATAAAAGTGAGAGAGAGGATATGGCAGGACGTCCGAGTGGAGGTGCCTTTTTGGAAGTTGAACATACTTGATTAATGATAAAGAATGAATAAAGTGAAGACAGATATGTGAATCCAAGGGCGATTCACCAAAGAGTTTATAGAATGATCAACTCAGGGACCAAGAATCAAGCCGTAGGAAATACGTAGAGGGAGGTAGGATGGAGAGAAACCTGAAAGAAAAAGGTGATCATCAGAGAAGTGGGAGGGTGAAAAAGAAAGAACAGTGTCACCGAAGCCATGTGGGAAACAACTGTCAAGGATTGGTCAACTATGTCACAGCAAATAGGAACTGAGAAAACTGGACCCTTAAAGATGAGTATCCTAGCCTAGGCTCCTGTACCTAGGGAACAAACGTTTTGGGCTAAATATGTTGTGAACCACGATGATGTTCTTTCCTCACAGAACGTGTCAAGCCCAGGGCTGTTTTCCCATGGCCCTGCTGGTTCTCTTCTTCTATTCCTGGAAAAGGCATAGAAAATGGAACTCTCTTCGCTTGCCACTGAGCTCATGCTCTGCCAAGGTCCTCCTCCATAAAGGACAGGGAGGTCAGAAAAGTTTCAAGCTGAAAAATTAAAATTATTTGCCAGACTGTCGTTTTATGAATATTCATGAGCAACAGCAGCGAGACGTGCAGGAGGATTCCCGATGTACTCCAATTAGCCTCCAGCTCAAATGACGAGTGGTGTGGCTAGAATGGGAATTGTGGAAGTGTGAGTGAGGAACTGTCTCTCGTTTTCTGTCTTTATTGCTATCGCTAGTTATTAAATGCTGTAACTTTTGGCATAGGTTTTTTTCCTAAGAATTGGTCTCTTATGTCAAGATTGCCTACACTTGCCTGGTATTGGGTCATATGGAAAATATGAATCATGTTCACAAGGTCCTGGACTTGTCTATCTATTTGAAGGAATAAGAAATGGACTTCACTTGAGCATGATGGATGAGGCTTGGGTTTTTATTAATGGCATAATTTTTCATCTTAACTCAATAAAACCTTTAAAGATAGGAGAAAATTATCTAGGGATGGATTTAGGCAGGTGAGAGCATGTTGAACATATCTCCTCTTAAGAAATCTTTACTGGCCAGGCGCGGTGGCTCACACCTGGAATCCCAGCACTCTGGGAGGCCGAGGTGGGTGCATCATTTGAGCTCAGGATGTTCGAGACCAGCCTGAGCAAGAACGAGACCCCGTCTCTACTAAAAATAGAAAGAAATTATCTGGACAACTAAAAATATACATAGAAAAAATTAGCCGGGCATGGTGGCGCGTGCCTGTAGTCCCAGCTACTTGGGAGGCTGATTGCTTGAGCCCAGGAATTTGAGGTTGCCGTGAGCGAGGCTGACGCCATGGCACTCACTCTAGCCCAGGCAACAGAGCGAGACTCTGTCTCAAAAAAAAAAAAGAAAGAAATCTTTACTGACCCAGAATGCTTTTAAAATAAGATTCAGAAAAGCTGAAGGAATTTGAACGCCTTGAAACTGTAGGGTGTCTTAAAACACTAATAGTGAGGAAACTACACTTCCCAGGAGGCCTCGCGGGGAGTCTCCACAATCGGCAGGTTCTTTTTACCGCGAGGTAAGCTGGGAAATGTAGTGCTGCAAGCGACGCTGCACGTGACGCTTGTAGAGGAAGGCGAGAGGGACCGCGCCGTCGGGGGCGGGACGGGTCCAGGGCATCGAGGTGTGCGTTGGTCCTTCCCCACAATTTGGTTTGTACGGTGAGGGGCGGGCGCTATCTCTGGCTCCAGCCGTGTAGTGAGCTGGCCCGGGGTCAGTCGCCCAGGGGAGCTGCTCGGGGGAAGTCCCGGTGGGTGGGGGACTGGTGCCTGGTCTCGTTTCCCGGCAGCCGGGCTGGAAGAGGGAGGGGGAAGGTGCGAACAGCCGGGGGCTCGGGAAGCTCTCGCCCTGAGCCCCACCCAAGCTGTGGCCGCGCGGGGAGGAAACGCGTATAGGTTTGAGTGCAAAGTTTCCTTTTTTGCTTTCTTGTCAGAGCAGCACCAACAGGCGGTGAGTGGGAATGCCCAGCTTCAGTTTGAAGAGGGTTAAAAAAAGCGACTCCCCCTACTTCTTGCCTCCTTAAAACACACACTGGGGTTTAGCCATGGGCAGCCGCGACCACTTGTTCAAAGTGCTGGTGGTGGGGGACGCCGCAGTGGGCAAGACGTCGCTGGTGCAGCGATATTCCCAGGACAGCTTCAGCAAACACTACAAGTCCACGGTGGGAGGTGAGACGTCGCCGGGGGTCGGGGAGGCGGGAAGGCGGAAGGGGTAGACTGGGGCTCCGATGCGGACTCGAGCTGTGGACCCAAGCGGGTTGGGGAAGGGGAATTTGGTGTCCTTTGGGTCCTTCCTTGGGTCATAGGAGTCTGGGATCCTAGAGGGAGTAGTTGCTGGCTGTTTGATTTGCATACCTCTCTCAGGTTTCCCCAGTGAGGTTTTCCCAGCCATAGCCGACTACCAGGAAAGAGATGGGGCAAAGGTGGGAAGATGAGAAATAGGGACGGGAGGATGAGAATGAGCAATTGCTGTTTATCGCCGGCTCACTCTGAATTCAACTCTCCTCCTGCAGCTTTCCAAGCCGTCAGGGACAAATCTATCCAATCAGCAGAAGCGACGGAGACTCTGTAGGGCCTGGTTAGGAGCCCGCTGGGGCTTTTGTCCGGCCTCTCCAGGGAGTTACAGACAGCCATTGAGAAAGGAACAGAAAGGTGTTTAACTTGGCTTCACGGGGAGAACCTAGGAAGCAGAACTGGTCTGAAGGACTCTAGTTTTGTTATGGTGATGTAGGTGGGTAGGGGGACACAAAATCTCCAAAGGAGCTCCTTGGTTATGCAATTAGATGCCCATTAGGGCTGATGAGCTGTGGCTTTTGTCCATTGATAGCTTAAATAAAAGTAACCTAGGAATTCTAGGAAGAATGTGAAATATACCACTTCTCTGACCTCTCTTCCCACCCCTTTCCCCTTCAAACTGAGGAAGGGAAGGAGGAAGGGAACACCGAGAGTTCATTCATTTTTTTCCCCAGGTGGGGCCTTTGGACTCAACTGTTTTTTCAGAGGTAGAAATGCATTTTTGTTAATTAGAAGGTGTTTGGGAAGAGCTGGTGACAGGGGAGAGTAACTTAAAACTTTACCTCTGTTAAAAGAACTTGTTTTAAAGGGAAAAAAACCTTGTATTGATAGAAAATTTGAAAATGTGTGCTGGTGTTCATATAGAAGCTTTTAAAAAATTAAGAAGCATTTACATTGCAATTAAAACATTCTCCTTAAGAACATCTAGCAAAATTAAGAGTTTAAAGTTTCAAAGACTGTTTTCTCGCCACTCTGCCCCCCCACGCCTATTTCATGGTTTTGGGTTAAAAGTGTTCTGCTAGTTAATTTTTAGCAATTGCTCTAGTTTTCCTTTAGTAAAGAATATAATTGACTCTGGCTAATTTTTTTTTCAGTGTTTCCTCTAAATTTCCCCTAGCTTTTATTTCTGTCACAGAAGTATAAGAATGTATTTCCAAACCTCGGAAATTATTCTATTTCTGTCCGTATCCAAAAGCTTTTCCCCCTGGAATACTTGTTCAGCCTTAGCTCACGGAGTCTCAGCATCTCCAGACTTACTAGATTACATCCAGCGCAGCTCTTAAGCATCATCCAAGCAGTGTCTTCTTCTGGGAATCCTCTGGGACCCTTTCCATTTATCCTATTCCTGCCCAAGTTAATTCTTGCAGCCTTATGGAGAATGTAGAATTCACCAGAGTGTGTTTTTCTCATAATACAATTTGATTAGAAACCAACAGTGAAATTGAATGTGGAAGATACAAAAGTGACCACACTTATCTCATTTCTCCCTTTTCCCCCCTCATCTCCTCCCTAAGAAAAACCCCCTAAATCTCCCAGAAACTGTTTAACCTGAGAATAGGAATTGTTTTCATAATCATTCCCATCTTCCTGCCCCCAGCCTTGGAGACAAGTAGTAGCAAATAAATTTGCTTGACAGAAGAGTGAAAGCTGGAGACCCCTTTGGAGAGCAAGTATGAGTGATCTGTCCCACACTTGATACGTGAGTGTGGGCTCATCTCAGCCAGTCGAGGGCTTGGAAATAAATAAATGGGATTGGAGTTGTATGTCCTTAGGGTTGTAATTTCATATTTGATCTGAGTTTATCCCTGGAATTTTTAAAGGGAAATTTTATTAAAGTATGTATTTTCAGTGGATTTTGCTCTGAAGGTTCTCCAGTGGTCTGACTCAGAGGTGGTGCGGCTCCAGCTGTGGGATATTGCAGGTAAGCTGCGAAGGCTGGGTAGGAACAAGGGAAGAAATTGTGGTTTAACCAGCAAACTCTCAGAGAAAAAGTGAGGCAGCAAAACCAGAAATTATTGTTTCTGAAGCTGAAATGATTGGGCTGATCTGAGGATACATAGAGCTTTTGTAGATGTTTTGCCCTGAATAGATCTGGAGCAGTCCATGTGGGTGGCGGGGCTGGCAAGGTGGTGGATTGTCCAGACCATAGGTGGATGCTCCCAGAGCAGGGGAAAGGTGCTTTTTCTAGGTTTAAAGCTGACCTTGGTGAGAAACAAGACCCCCAGAAAATAGATAATGATAGTGAACCCTTATTATGTGCCAAGCACTCATCTGAGCATTTTAAATTCAGTGATTCATTAATCCTCGCAACAAGTCTATCATAAAACTACTGCTTTTATCTTCATTTTACAAATGAGAAATATGAAGCACCAAGAGCTTGATTTGCCCTAAGACATATAGATAGTTAAGCAGCAGGGCAGGGATTTGGACTTGAGCAATCTGGGTGCAGAATCTACCTTGGAGATGAAGGGGCTTAATTATCCCTTTATGGGATAGATAGAAAACCAAGAGGTAGAGGGGGACAGTGAGTGGCTCCCTCTGCCACATGTGTCAGAGAGGGTGCTGAGATTGGTTCTTAGGATCACTTCCTCAGGAACTCTCCTCTTTCTCCCCAGGACAGGAGCGCTTCACCTCTATGACACGACTATACTATAGGGACGCTTCTGCCTGTGTTATTATGTTTGACGTTACCAATGCCACTACCTTCAGCAACAGCCAGAGATGGAAACAGGACCTGGACAGCAAGCTCACATTGCCCAATGGAGAGCCCGTGCCCTGCCTGCTCTTGGCCAACAAGGTATGTGGCCAACCTAAGAAAATGGCCCCTAGCCTCTATCTGTGGTCAGAGAGTAAGCATATCTAAAATGCTCTCTGATTTGGGGCGTGTGTTTCTCCTTCTCAAGTTAGCAGAATCATCTCTTCCTCCTTTCAAAGGATGTTGAGGGTGAGACTTTCTTTGGGAAGAATGCTGACTATAGATTTTAGATGCTGGTGTATTCTTAGCCATTGGTAGAAAAATGTCTTAAATACACAGGCATCTAAGCCATATTTCTGTTTCCAGGAAGTTTATGGTGTTGCCTTTTATTCTCTTTGTCAGTGTGATCTGTCACCTTGGGCAGTGAGCCGGGACCAGATTGACCGGTTCAGTAAAGAGAACGGTTTCACAGGTTGGACAGAAACATCAGTCAAGGAGAACAAAAATATTAACGAGGCCATGAGGTGAGTATCTCATGCTGTTATGGGGATAGGCATGAAGATTTATCCATCTTCCACTGAAGCCCTATGGAACTTCTTTTCTTGTTTCTGAGCTAACAAGAACAGACGGAGCCACTGGAATGCCAGCTCCTGAAGGTCAGGGACACTGTCTTCTCTCCTAAGATAACTGAGCACAAAGGGGCATTTAAACCTTGTGGCTTTACTGAATGCTATCTGGTGAGAAGACAATGTCTGCCATTTCTCCTTTTCCTCCATCTAGCTTCTCAGGCTTATTTCTTATTTCTTTTTAGAGTCCTCATTGAAAAGATGATGAGCAATTCCAGAGAAGATATCATGTCTTTGTCCACCCAAGGGGACTACATCAATCTACAAACCAAGTCCTCCTCCAGCTGGGCCTGCTGCTAATAGTGTTTGGCTTGTTTTCCATCCCAGTTCTAGGAGGTCTTTCCATCTCTTTCCTTTGATTGCTCACCTAGCAGTTTTATTAATTACGTTTGAACTGTCTCCTTCCAACTGTCCAGTAAGGAGGTCCATGATCACTTAGAAAAAACACCTGGGACCCAGGTGCATTTCTGCATCTCCTGGGTGTCGGCTTTGACTTGCTGCTGGCTCATGTGACTAGTTAGCGCCTTCAGTATAAGAAAGATCATCTCATCCTTCAATTTTTGATCTGGAATTTTGTGGAAAGATTAGAAATCCACATCTGTGTTTTTAAGGAGTATGATCCTCACTTACTTTTAAGCTTATTTTTCCATTTGATGTACACTGATATCATGACTTCAGATTGAGAGGAAAATGAGATCAAATGTTATTCCCCAAATTCCTTATAGGCCATTGCTTTCAGATTCTTTCTGTCTTGGAATTTAAGCATCTACTAATTCTGAGATGCAGAGGAGGGGGTCTAGACATCAATGGGTTTGGGGCTACTGGAGGCGACCCAGAAGTCACTGTATTTTTGAAACTTCTAAAGTTATAATTAACTTTCTCTTGTCTTGGCTTCAAGAATAGTCAAGCTTTTAAACTATTGTGCGTGGTGAGAGCATTTTCTTCCACCAAGAACTTAATCCTCACATTAGGGTTGTTTAGTGTCTCCCTACCAGTGGAATGGGAGCAGGGTTTGCAAGTTTCTGGGTTGATGTCTTGATACATAATGCTGCAAGTGACATCAGTTGGCTGTGGTACTCTAAAATACGTCTGTTCCTCGCAGCTTTGGGAATCTGAACGGAAGAAGAAAAGGGAGTGGTAACAGAACAGAATCCAGCAGAACAACTTTATGAGCACCGGGGGCAGCTAGTACTTAGCCATGGGAAACAAATATTATGTGCAGGCCTTGGCCTGGGGGAGGAGAATGGATAGACAGAAAATCATCAGGTAATTTAAGTACTAAATTGGGCAGGTATTTTAGTATGAAATTACTTCTAGACAGTTTAATTTGTTAAATTCTCTCTAGGCTGGTAATTTATAACTACCCAAAGTTACAAATATCCTTAGTGAACTCAGAGGCCTGAAGTTTTTTGGATAGACCTTAAATAAGTATCCTAAATCAGTAGTTCCCAAATCTGGATGATCAAAACTACCTGGGAAGTTTGTTAAAATTTTTTTAAATGTTTTAAGATTTTTGGAGGTCCCAACCTCAAACCTGCTAAATCACAATTTCTAGGGATGAAGCCTGGAAATGTGGTGGTGTGTATTTCAAAGCTTCCCAGGTATTTCTGACCAGCCTGGTTTGGAAGCTTGCTAGAGAACATGGTAAAGATACAGAGACCAGGCCAGGCATGGTGGCTCATGCCTGTAATCCTAGCACTATGGGAGGTCAAGGTGGGAGGGTTGCTTGAGGCCAGGAGTTCAAGACCAGCCTGTGCAACATAGCAAGACCCCATCTCTACAAAAAATTTAAAAATTAGCCAGGCATGTTAGTGTGCCTGTAGTCCCAGCTACTCAGGAGGCTGAGGCAAGAGGCTCACTTGAGCCCAGGAGTTTGAGGTTGCATTGAGCTATGATGATGCCACTGTACTGTAGCCCAGGCAACAGAGCAAGACCCTGTCTCAAAAAAAAAAGATACAGAGACCCAGGCCCTTCCTATTTAAATGATCCTGGGTTTCTGTATGCTCTGTTAGCTCTCCAGAATCCTGATACACACCACCAGACTTTGAAAATCACTGTCCTAAGAAAGAGATCAGAGGCCAAATATCAGAGAAGGGAAGCCAAGCCTTCAGTAGTTAATTTTTTTTAATGCCAGTTATTATAACTTGCACAATCTTTTGAGACCTTATAGTTCTCTTCTGTATTATCATTTTCAGGCAGGGTTTTGGTTACAATGATTCTGAAGATAATAGTGGAGTAGCAAATTTCATTTATGTGAAGAGATAATTTTTTCCCATTGGTTTGAAACCCTGCAAAATCACAAAATAAATGGGAACTAAGTCTTGCATTCGTGGTAGTTATTGGCCTTTAATGTGAGTTTGTTAAAGAGCTATTTTATACTGATAGTTCAAAAGAATTGTAGAAACATAGACTTTATTTTTTAAATGCCTTCTTTTAAAATAAATGAAGGCAAATATTATTCTGCATATCTGTTAATTTACTAGTACCAGTTACTTAGATCCAGCTGCCTAGTACCAATTCTATACTCAATGTAATATCCCAAATACTGCTTGGAGCTGTGAACTTTTTAAAAAATTGAATGTGCTTTCGTTTCCCTTTTGCTGACTCAGGATTTACCTGCCTCTTCAAGCATTGCTACAGCCCTTCTGAATTTTCTGTCCCAGTGGGTGAACATTACAGGCCTGAAACTAATTAAAGAAGGAATTGAAATATAACTAATTCCTCTCCATGCCCTTATCCATAAAGCAAAGCAGTTAAGATAGGAAAAATGAAATATTTACATGAATGGAAATGTGATTATACTAAAAATAATTAGATCTTATCATTTGGATGCTACCCCTTTGGTAAAATTGTTTGGAGCATGGATATCGTTGTAGCCCTTCCCTAGAGATGGTTCTATATTTGAGACAAGATGCCCATCTAACTACTGAGTTGGTCTTTGGCCAAAAGGAAAACATAATTCCCTACAGGGTATTCAGAGAAACCCAGGGGAGGGCTGAGAACACAGCTGTGGGATAGTGACTGCCCTGGCTTTCGTCTTTGAACAGAATAGCTGAGTGATCAAGTAAGTGGGGAGAAAGAGATCGTAGGTCGGAGGGCCCTCTAGCAGCAAATAATGATTTGCTGTTTTATCGCTACTGTTGAGCCAAAATTACTCCAAGGTGATTTCCGTAATTTACTTTGTCTAGCTATTACTAAGGTATAATAGGGTTCCTCATTTTTTTCTGTTATCTCCAGATTTAACTTTTTTCTTTAGATAGTCTGTCTTCTGTCCTCAAGACACTCTCCCATCTAACATGAGGCTTTTCTCGCCTGTCCTTGTCCTTTTATAGGCAGTGGCCTGCTTTTGACATGATCTAAGGCTGTGGTTAGAGGATGTAAAAAATCTCCATGGAATGCTATAAAATCCAGTGACCAAATTGCCCAAGGAAAAAAACCCCAGTGCCCTTTCCCCTCCACCCCTCTTGACTCACTATGGATAGGAAGATTTCTCAGCTATGTGACTCATCTAAAGCCAAATAATCCCCAGAGCTGCAGGCTGATTGAATAGGTTGGAAGTCACTAGAAAATTATGTATGTTGGAAAGAACTCTATGTATATTTTTGATTCAGCCCATAAATACCAGAGACTTCAGAATATATATATGACCTTTCTTTAGTTTTCGGGCATGATCTGAATTCTCTCAATTTATCTGAAGAGTTTCAGCATAATAATGGTATTGTTCTGAATTAGGGTTCTCCAGGGAAACAGAACCAATAGGAGATATAGATATTATAAATACATATAAGATATATAGAGATAGAAATAAATATATAGAGATATATGTAGATATATAAATACATGTATTTATTATAAGGAATTGGCTCACACGATTATGGAGGCTGGCAAGTCCTAAATCTGCAGAGCTGATGTCTCAGTTCAGTTCCAAAGGCTGGCAGGCTGGAGAATTCTCTCTTACTTGAGGAAAGACAGTCTTTTGTTCTACTCGGGCCTTCAACTGATTGGATGAGGCCCACCCACATTAGGGAGGGCAATCTGTTTTACTGAGTCTGCCAATTTAAATGTTAATCTCATTCAAAAACACGCTCATAGAAACACCCAGAATAATGTTGGACCAAATATCCGGGCACCCTGTGGCCCAGTCAAATTGATACATAAAGTTAACCATCACATGCTCTAACAGTACTTACTGAGTGACAGGCCACTGTTTTGATTCCTTTTCTTCATACTCTAATTTGATTCACATTCAAGGTATGGTTCATCTGATTAGGAATTAATTACGTGTTAGTGGGAATAACACGTTAGAGGAGAAAGCAGGTAGAGGAAGGAGATAAGATCCGTATTTTATAAGTTATCATATAAGCCCAGTAGCACTGGACACCAGCATTTGATACTCTTCCCTCAAATCTGTGAGTTGTGCATATCTTTTACACTATCTTTGAAATAAGAAAGCAAGCAGTTCTTCCCATTTTATGTTTCAGGGAACACATGTCTCAAAATTTGACTGACTGAAAAGCAGCCGGTTGAATTTGTAATAAAGCCAAGACATAACTGCAAGTCTCTAATTCCCCATCTCCATTCTGTCATTTAGGTTTCTGGGAAACATTTGGCCTGAAAAACCTATTTTAGAAAATAAGCCCAGACACTTAGTGAAACAGAACTGAGCCCTTTGGGGTTTGAAATTCTTGGTTTGTGTTAGATAGCTTTGAGAACATGTTCATGTGTGGAGTAGAGACATGTGGGTAATTAAATTTGGGGCCAAATTAGGTGCAGTTTGAATAGCATGCAGTGCAGACATACCCTAAGCTGTTTAATTGACAGGTTCCACTTACCAAGATGTGGCACCCAAGTAAAGTGACTGCCATTTAATTTTAAATATCAGCTTTTTTGTTTGCAAGTGCAGGGATTTTAACAGGCATTCTATTTTCAACTGTTGCTGCCAGTATCTGATGTTAATCTGAGTGTTTGCTGTAAACCAAGTATTAATACTTTCCTAAGCACTTCACATAGATTTTTATTTTCACAGCAACCTATCAGGTGAATATAGGGGGAAACTGAGGAACAAAAAATTAAGTCTTTGATCAAGGTTAGACAGCTAGCAAGTGGCAAACTGTGATTTTTTTTTTTTAACCCTAAGCAATGTTGCTCCAGGAACTGGACCCTTTGCTACACTACACTGCCTCCTATTTGTATGTGTGTGCTTTGGTAGTGGAATCCTTGAAGTTTTTCCACTTACGTTTTCAGGATGGTGGAAACAAAGAGTAATTTATTAAATAGGTATACAAATTTTCCAATACTTTTATAATGAAAGATTAAAAACCTTTCATTTTGGCGCATGGTGACTCACACCTGTAATCCTAGCACTTTTAGGAGGCCGAGGCATGAGATCATTTGAGTCCAGGAGTTCAAGGTTGCAGTGAACTATGATCGTGCCACTACACTCCAGCCTGGGTGATGGAGCAAGACACTGTCTCAAACAAAGCAAAACAAAAACACCTGCTCTTTAAGGAAAATGAAGAAGAAAAATCCAAACCACCCAGAGCCCAATAACCCAAACAAAATCTCTATTTACATTTCAATAAGTTTGCTTTCAATTAATTTTTAATGCAAAGAGTTGTTTCACATAATTGTATTCATAGTTAAGTGAAACTTTTATTTATTAAACACCTTTTATGTATCCAGTATTGCAGTAGCAGTTATAGGGGATATAAAGACCTGTGCCATAGAAGTTCAAAGAAGAAAGAGATCAAGAAAGAATTCTTGAAGTAGGCTTTAAGATAGATAAAAATTGAAAAAGAGGTGGGAGAGGGTTTCAGGTTGGGAAGAAAGGAAGTTTGGAATTCTTATGCAGGTTTGGGAAGTAACTAGGAGACCAAAGGATTTACCTGCAGAGCAGTGGGCAATAAGGTTGGG